AGATAAGAAGAGTATTAAAATATGTAGGAAAACTTACAATAGCTTAACTGGCGGCCTAAAACCTTGTTGGTTTAACAGCTTAAAACAACTAAAAATTGAGAAAATTTTAATATAATGGTACCCTAACTTGAATCTTAATTATTACTAAAATAGTATGTGCATCAAAACAATTGACTTATAGAGCGAAATGCGCTTAACCAACTGATTGATGACATTTATAATCGACTTGGTTGTCAGTTAAAAAAATATATAATTGACTAGTTTAAAGGTCTTCGGTTAAATATGACCAATTTATGCTTCGTTTGTTCGTACCTTGTACAGACTTCTTTTGTACAGTATCTTTTGACAAGTGAGAATGTATTAATTTTTTATATATTAAAAGTAGGGATGTTCATATCCAATCCAATCCGATTGATCCGACCTAAATTGATCTAAACCGATATAAAATTGAGTTGGTTTGAATTATAAAATTTTAAAACTGATATAATTGGTTTGGTTTGTGATTTTACCTTCAAACCGCCCGAACTGCCTGATTACAAAATAAAATCCGATTACAAAATAACTTAATGAAATAATATAATATATTTTTTGTAGTATTTTAAAATTTCTTTTTCTTATTTTACAAGATAATAACTCCATTAACTTAATTAAAAAATAAAAATAAAACATCTCCATATTCTCTAAGTTATTTTTTTTTAATCATACACTCTAATCCTAAATCTAAATTTCTAATTCACCTACAACTCTATCTCTTCAGAACTTACTTACGTCTTTACTATTAGAATCTTAAATTTATAATTTATTTTTAAAATAATATTATGATTCTCCTAATTAAGTTTTAAATAAGTATTATTTTAAAAGTCTTAAAATTATATAATAAAATTAGTCTTGATATTCTACTATTCTTGGATATTTGGTTTAGAAATTTTAAAATTTGATTATGAATGCTTCTAATCAATTTTAATGATATTCATGTTAAATTTTATTTACTTTTAACAAGATTTAAAGGATGAGATTAAATTATTAGTGTTTTAAGAAAAAAAACTAATTTTAATCTTTAAGAATTATTTACGCTGTACTAGAAATTTGAAGTCATCTTTTATTGTTCTTGGTGCCTCTAGTGATGTAACCAAGAATAATTTTTAGATTTTTTCAATTTTTACAAATGTAAAAAAGTATAAGAACTCGTTTATAATTTGTACTTTTTATTATGTTTTTACTAATTTGTATGTTAATGTGTTTTATGATTATGTTTTCTATTTGATGTTAAAATATTTTTACATTATCTTATATATTTAATAATATTAAAAACCAATCAATCCGATCGAACCACACCGATCCGATTCAATTTGGATTGATTTGGTTATCATATAATAGTGGATTGAATTGGTTTAAAAACTTTATTAACCGATTAAATTAAATTAATTTAAAAAATATTAAAATCTGAACAAAATCACACCGCGAACACCCTTATTAAAGATGTTGGGCTGGGTCTGAGCAATGTTTCTGTAAACGAATATGCTATGCTGGATTAGCCTGGATCACTGATACTGAGACCCAAATCTTGGTTACCTACGTCACCGTATGGGCCTCCACGATACTCCAATAGTCCAACCCACATTTTGTGAAACCGCGGCGCAGAAGCAAAGTGATAGGTTACCCTGCAAATCCAAGTAATTAAAAAAAAATGGTTTTTAGTTTTATAGTTCTTGTACTAAATTATAAAATATAAATTATTATATTATAAGTCAATTCTCATTTAATAATTTTAAATTATATAGTTTTGTGTAATTTTTTTTGAATAAAATATGAAATTTATTATTTA